CAGGTTTACCCAAAGAACCTTGTCTGCCTATGTCCTTAAACCAACATGGCTACAACCTATGCACCTTCTACTTTTGAAGACATTTTCAGATCAGAAATTTTCTCCTGATAGTTTTTTTCAATTTTCCTTTACTTAGTATAAAATCCTAGACATTAGAGCTAGATATGACTTGCTCAGCTGTTCAGTCCATCCCCTGCCAATTTGTTAATACTTCATGCATAGCTCATTCTACCTCATCTATGTTATAACTGATTTAAACCCAACATTGTTATAAAAGAAGACTGAACTATACAATTTCCACATACAATACTACAACTGATCGGAGCCTAAATATCATCCTGTTGCTCCCAATTACATCCCATATCATCCCAACAATCCTCCTCCCACCTTGGTGTTTATATCCTTTCATTACCTGCAGGATGTCAGATATGTGAAAGTGATCTCTTGCTCTACAGCTTATTAGTTTTAGTCACTGACAAAGATCTGCCCTGGAAGCATTTTAAGGTAAGAAAAGAAGAATCAAAAGAGTTGAAAAGGAAGGAGGTGGGGACCTACATTAGAAACCATGAATAGTCCTATCGAATAGCTCTGCGCAGTCCCTGCACTGTCAGCAATCTGCAGTTCCTGGCACAAAGACTGGTAGAGTATTTAATGAGCAAGATACAGAACAGGAAGAGTCTCCATGAACTATGTAAAAAGCATGCAGCAGACATACCCCAGCACTTATTTAACATTAAACCTACCATTTTCCCTAGAGAAGGACTTGAATCAGAATAGAGCAGTTTCCTGTAGCTTAAGCTCAAAGCCAGGCACGCATGATATTTGTAACCCAATTATGAGGGGACCACCCACCTATGTGAAGCTGGGCAGAACCCCACACTCAAGTGTGGAGGCAGAGGGCTCTGTAAAGGTATCTTTCAAGCATTCGCTGATGTGTCTCTAGATATTTTAAATATTTATTCCTGCAGACTGCCTGGCATGGGAGGTCCACATGTCAGCATGCACAAGAGGAACTTGTTTTAATTCTTAGCATGTCAGATGGGGAAAGGGAAACAGTAGCTAAAAGTCCACCGCTCCTTTCAAGCAGAAGGTTTCACCTTTTCAGGAGCAGAAAACAGCCTGCAGGTAAGGACCAAGAAATGAATTAAGAGATCTTCAAATTTACAAGTCACAATGTCCACTAGTGACAGCATGGAGATCAAACCCATTCGCACAGAAAGCCCAGCAGCTGTGGTAGTAATCTGCAGTCACGTCTCTGCGAGCTGCCTGGGTGCAACTGTTCTTCTCTTCTGTACCCTTTCTACCGAATACAGAAACAGAGTGCAACCCTGCAACAAAACCAAAGCTCTGTCTTCTCAGTTCAACTCACCAAGATGGTCACCACTAAATACTGGAAGTCGTTGCGAAGCTCAGTCATGTGGGTACAAAACAGGACAAAGTTGCTCTGCTCAAGCTGGTGAATTGAAGATGGCAAGGATCAACAAAGAAAAACCAAACAAAAGGTTTTTACAATTTCACAAAATTGGTAATTAAGTCATTAAGGGCTCAAGTCTGCTTTAACTTACACCAGTTTAAATGAGGAATAACACTGCTGACATCATAGGAGCTATGCCAAGGAAAGTTGGGCTGAGAGGAAGGCCAGCTACTGAACACAGCTATCTAGTGGGACCAGGATCCCAAGGTCTGGTGCAGGCCTAGCATGTACTGTTTAGGGGAAGTCAAAGGCTTAGATGACTATCTGATTTGTGCATGGCAGCCTGATGAACCAGCACCTTTTCGAGGGCTAACAGATTATACATTAAGAGAAGGACCTGCTTATAAATTAAGCCAGACGGTCATGGGGAGAGCCTCCCCCAACACTGCCTTTCTGAGCATGCACCACAATCCACTGTTTCATTTCAGGTATGAAACTCTACTGCCCTGCGCCTACCTCTTCAGCAATCACCCTCATTCCAACCAAACTCCCCAAAACTTAGTAGCCCCAGGCAGACAACAGCAACTCCTACACATACCAGCCCGTTTGGAGCAAGAGACCTCTCAATTGTTGTCAGCCCTCTCTTCAGCCCCTCCCCTCCACTTCTTTGTGACCTGAGATTGTGAGATGGTCCCAGAGCGAATCTTCTCCTTCCTGGGTATTCTCAGCTAGTAGCCAACTGTGTGCCATGCCCGCTATGCCACACTGGGTGATTTGGTGCTGGAAGGGTCTGCAATCCCAAGGAACCTGTCATAAACTTGCCTCTCTTTTTGTCTTGATGTGAGAAGTGCTTATATTATTGTCACTTACTCTCAAGGTTTTTCCTCAAGTCAAGACAATCAAATGCACCAAAGAGCAGCTTTGCTAACTGGATTCAAATCTGTGTCAAAAAAACTTGGAAATTTCTCGGCCAACATATTTTCACATTTCCTTGCTATAAGGAAAAGCCATGGAGAAATTATAGCTCTTATTTATTTATTCTCCAGGACAGAGGGCAACTAAAGTACACGTTACATTATGATTTGTGTCATGGTGCCACATTGCTGGTTGTGATCAACAGTGACTAATGGGTTGGTGACAAAAACATAGATATTATGTACTTTTTAAAATAGGAAACTGAAGATCAAGATAACAAACCCACCCTAATGATGATCCTTGCAGATGAGTATGTCTTGAAATCCTGGGTCAAAACATCGCTTGGGCTTTAGGAAATATGGGCTTATAAACTTTTGATTTTCAGTTTCTATGCAGCATCTCTCACTGTAATGATAACCTATTGTGCTGGTTTGGGAGGTTAGAAATATGACTGCTGATTCAGATCTGAATTCTGGGGCTCTAGTTACAGCAGAGTTAATACTTTACTCCAAAGTAACTGAATATCATCTTACACTTACATAGTGCCTTCCTTCCCAAATTACTCTATAGGAACCATCGCAGTCACTATTACAGAAGTCGCCTAAGAAAAGGAACGAAGGTAATGTTTTAAAGCTGCAGAACAGCTTTGAGAGAAAAAAAAAAGTATTCTCCAGCCAAGCAAAACAGTAGGGAATTAGAGGTAGGTGGAGTATAATGACCCAAACTGGGTCACTGGGGCCAGCATCCCACCTTTCATGAAAAGAGTCACAAAATCTTTCATGATAAATGGTTAGGATGTTAATTTTATTCCTTGTTTGAAAGGCAATCACCTCCAGCGGTACAGTACCCCTCAGTACCAAAGTGGGGCACTGGTTCAATACTGACTCAGAAGGGAAACCTGTTACCTACCAAATCACTAACTCAGCTTACAAGTCAAAGGCCATTTACATTTTAGCACCTGAAGATTGTTTCATGCTGTGGTTGGAACAAGCCTGACCTGGGTTTAAGGCTGAAGTTACCTGAACTGCTGTCGAGATGAGAAGAAATGAAGATGTAAGTTTTATGTACGGCCCGTGCTTCATTGCGAGTCTGAGTCCCTTAAAGAAAGGAATTGCTTTGTCTGAATTTAAGGCGTAAGGATCTATAAGGAGTGGAATACATAAAATAATGTAATATTTTCCAAAGTTAAATGGGAAAGAACCACTTTGAAACCCAGGCACATTTAAACACAACTTACCGTCCTTTTCCTTTACTCCACTAAAAAGGATGACAGACCCCAGTAGATACACCCCTCCTATTACTCCTGCTGCAATCATATAGACTTTTGCCTTTAAAAGGAAAAAAAGCCACATTTCAAATGATGCCAGTGGAAGATCTGCTTTGACAAATGTGAACCAACAGCTACAACGGAAAATATCAAATCAGGAGTGACCATTAGGACAGGACATTAGTGCTAGCTTAGTTAATAAAGGCAGAGCAGCAAACTGTAACTGCTGCGGGAACCCCTGGCTCTCTCCAAATTGACTATTTTGCCTTGAGACGATTTTACTAACATGGCTGGGTGTTTTAAAGTGACCAGTTTCAAACTTTTCCAAGTTAAGTCTCCCAAATGAAGAGGAAGGCTGGTGTACAGGTGTAGCAGGGCACCAATGTGCCTGCTACTTGTGGAGCAGCAAGTAGGGAGCCCAGCTGCAGGTTGCCAGGGTAACCAGTGGGAGTCAGCTGACCGGAAGGGGCAGGGCCTGGCTCCTATATAACTCCCAGGCTGAGGCCAGGCAGGCAGTTCACTGCTGGCAGCTGGAAGGGAAGGAGCTCTGCCTGCGTGAGGAAAAGGAAAGGGCTGGAAAGACTGATCAATGCGATACTGGTGCGAGATGGAGAAATCCGGGAGTGGCTCGGGGGCTGTTATAGTCAGATGGCTTAGGTTTATGTTATAGCCAAGGGGCTTGTATTTGTTTACTGTTAGACTGGTGGTTTGGGCGAGGCTATCAGGGGTTGGAGGAGGCCTCATAGGGGACCCGCGGTAGCGTGGGAACCCCAGCGCCAGAGAGGGCACACCATTTTGGAGCACACTGGCCCCAGAGCAAAGGGGGGGGCAGCAAGAAGCCCCAGAGCAAAGGGGGGGCAACAACTGATGAGCGCCAGAGGGCACGGTGAGAGACGAGGGCTATGGCTAAGACCAAACAACGTCTGGTACATCTGCAAGGCTTGGGGTGTGGTACAGGGGTGGTTGGAGCCATGTGTAGCCCGTAAGGCTGGGGTGCCTAGAACCCCATTATTAGAACAAGACTCAGGGTAGCAGGGAAAACCATGACCAAGAGGACAAAAGGCAGCTTCCCTTTAATATTTATAAGAGCAAGATGTGGCGGGCGAGACTTTAGGACGCTTTGATGTGAACTTGGCATGGTAAGGGGGCGCTAGGGGAGATCACGGCCACCCCTAGGACCCCGCTCCGTGACAACAGGTTAGGATGCTAGGTTAGGACTCGAGAAATGCAGGTTCAATTCTCTGCTCTAACACAGACCTCCTTGTTCAAGTTGTTTAGTTTTTCTATAACTTAGCTTCCCATGTGTAAAATGGGGTCAGCAGCACTTTCTTACTTTTATAGTTAGGAAATGTTGTGAAAACACATGTGTTTAAGTGGGCAATGCTCAGGGATTACTGTAATGGTGGTTATATAAGCAAAGGATTGATACATCTCAATTTCCTATCAGGAAGGGACAGGTAGCCACCAGAGAGAAAATCAGTTTCTTTCTATTGGACCTCAATATTACAGCAGTGAGAATAACTAGCTGGCATTAAAAGTCCTGGTCTCTCTTTGGTGAGTCGGCTACAATTGGAGAACTTCCCAAATATGTAAAGTCAGCAGCCTGCTCTTCATTTTTTGTGTGAAAAATGTTCACTTCTGCGGGTCATTTACAACCTTAATTTATGTCAGGATAAATCCAGGACCCACATGTATAAATTTCTAGCAAAATATAAACGGTTCTGGACAAAAGGTCTAGTATGTCAGCAACCAGAACGTGTTTAAAAAACAGGCAATGTTGAGACTAGTCATAGATGTGTACACTTACCTGTCAGAAACTGGCAGTACCCAGAGGATAGTTCTGGATTTCTGCAAAGCAAATTAACCTAACTACATGTTTTATAGTCAGCAGGCTGCAGCCAGCACCTTTATATCTCACTAAAGATGCAAAATATTGTTAACAGCATAAGCAGAAATGTAATAATTTTACTAAGAAAATCTTGTCTTTGCCCTGACTACATTTTAGGAAATTATTACAATAATGTCATACATATGCATAATGGTTGGAGAATCTGATAGTTCATGTACATATGTTTTGGGCTTTTTATTTAATGAAATGTTTGAGCTAATTATGGAAATTCTTCGAAAGTCTCTGCTTTCTGTAAACCAGTAACAGCAGTGTCAAAGAGGAAGCCAACGACTGAGCCACAAAATCCATAACGATCACCTCCAACTGCATCTACAATGGTTCTAGTATAAAGCTTTGAAACTCATATTTCTGGTTCACATTCTATTATATTTTTCTTTTATTCTTTATTTTGAAAGGTCAGTTTCAGAAATTTTTGCTTTTTATGACTATTTATAGGACTCTTTAATTGCAAGTATAAGAGCAGACTCTAAGTCTACGAACTGTTTAATAAAAATGCAACCAACCAAAAAGGAAGTCTTTTTTTTAAAAAACCACCCCCCTCCCTTTGTATGAGACTAGCTTGGTACAGACCATATTTATTTCAAGAAAACAAGCTTTGCAAGATCTTTCTCTTTTAGAACGATCCTTGGCTGTGTAAAAGAATGTAAGGTTATTCTTTAGTCAGGATTAAATTATGCTTAGGATGTATTATCAGAATATCCATCTTTACTACACAACACTCCTTACCCTCAAAATACACACATGTGATGTCCACGCGCATCATTTAGATGTGATTTCAGACTTGTTCTTTTTAAGACTCTTTTCCCCCAGTGCTGTTTAGGGGATTTGGAAAAGGGAGGAAACAGCAGCATTAACCAAGGCAGGAACAGTAAAGAGTAGTTCTGTACAAGGGCTGCCGATGCATTTCAAATCTCAGCAGATAACACTCTTAGCCATTCCTCTCCCAAACACTTCCCGAGTACACGCATGCCAATTGTGCCGCAGTCTGGTGATGTGAGCAAGGGCCAACTCTAAGTTAAGGAAGACGGTAGTAATAGTCTTGTGCGTTTTGTTGAAGTGCCCCCTGGAAAGGACTAATAATAATGTCTCGTACTAATAACAATGGTTCGTGGTTTTGCTAATTCCTCTGAAGAGGAGACATAAACCCCCTAATCTACAATACTTCCGCCTTATCTCTGCAAATGGGGAAACTGAAGTGCACACCTACTAAGCGACTTCCCCAAGGTTACAGGGAGAGACTATGGTAGAAAAAGGAACAGAAACAAGATCTTTCAAATCCTCCTCTGTGCATTAACTACAAAGCCAGCCTTGCACTAGAATGGCATTAATGCCCTCTCTATACTCCCACCAGTCGCACACTGGCAAGAATAAAAGTTCAAAGCTGTGTAGGATTTTAGGCAGGCAAATACCACTGTCTGCACTGAGGGAACTTGAAAACTAACTCCCCAGCTACTGCATTGAAAATTTATCCTGTGCAGCTGGGCTGAAAGCAGCCACTCTGAATAATTATTTTTTGCTAATTAGACTTGTATTTTAAACAGCAAGTCAGCCTGCAGGGAGGAGAGACGGTGGCCCTATGCCTCTTAACCAGCATCTTCTGCAAGCTCCTTGTTGTAATGTCGCTGTCATGCTGAGGAGCAGTCAAAGACAGACCAGACAGGGGGGCTGCCCACAACAAGGCAGCTGTCGTGGTTCTGATGTCACTAATAGCAGCTGAGCCAGACTCAGGTACATCCTGCAAGCTGCTGGAAAGGGACACCACTGAAAAATCCCTCCCCTAGGAATTCCAGCTGCATATGCACTTACTCCGTGAGCCAGGAAGCCCAAGGGCTCAGGAACGCTGGAAGTGTTGTGTAGGGATTGAGGATACTCGGTTGTGTTTGCAGTGCGATTCACAGTACAACGATCAGAGGCATGAGCACTTGCCACAATCTGCCCCTGGAGCGTGGCTCCAATCAGGGTTCCAAGGACTTCCATAGTCATTCCTATAATAAGAAGCACAAAAGCGCATTAGGGGGGAAGCTTATTAGTGAGCCTGATGTTTTTCCTCACTAGAGAGTGAACTCACTGAAGAAAACAGTGTTCTTCTTATGGGGGATGTGCACAATAGCACCAACAAAACTGGCAGAGCTAGAATGTTACTTACACAACAGTTTGATGAAAAGGAAATTCTGTCTTCCCCCATCACCTCTTATTGATTCTGTATAATCTACAAGGGGAGGGTTAAGTGGCAAAGGAACAGTGCAGTAACCTTTCACATCTTGAGATCGCAACTGAAATATAGCTTAAATGTTCCTAGGACTCTTCTAAGCACAGAGAACTGGGATAGCAGATTTCTAATCCTTGGCCTAACTCCGTCTGTGAGAGCTTTTGCAAGTCTCTTACCTGTTCTGTGCCTTATTTCTCCAACTGTAAAATGGAACAAAAAAGGGCAACAAGAATAAACAGGGGTATGGATGGGCTTCCATATGAGGGGACAGTAAATGGGCTATGACTTTTTTTTCAGCTTAGAAAAGAGACATTTGTGGAGGAGGGGGGAAAACAACATGACAGAGGCTTGCAAAATATGAAATGGTGCAGGGAAAGTAAGTGGGGATGTATTATTCACTGCCTCTCAATGCTAAAACTAGGGAACATAAAATGAAACTATTGCATATCAGGTTTAAAACTAACAAAAAGCAAGTTCTTTTCCACACAGTGAGTAATTAACTTGTGTGACTCATTGCCACAAGATGCTGCAGTAGCTGGGAGCTTAACCTACTTCAAAAGGGGATTGGATCAATTCTTGGAGGAAAGGTCCATTAGTAGATATTGAATGTGGTAGATCGGGTACAGCCTCTGAATTGGAACTTCCTCAACCTCCGAGTATTAGAAGCTGCGATGGGAGAGAAGCAGGGGGTGGACATGTCCTATCCACCCTCCCCTTCAATATCCATTCTCTGCCACTGTGCAAGACAGGATACTGGGCTTGATGGACCTATGGTCTGACTTGGTAAATGACATTTCTTATATTCTTATGATCTTACGAAATAATACTTTCCTACATCAGACCAACATTAATGTTCCCTGCTCCCATTTCATGTTCATGCATTTTATTAAATGACTATTTCATGCAAAACACACAAGCCACATTGAGAACAGAACCAGGGCTCCTCTCTCCCAGGAAAGAGGGTTCAGCCATTAGCCCAGTAGACAGAGGCTTGAGTTCAATGCTCTGTTCTGCCACAAACTTCCTGAGTGACCTTACATGGCCACATTTAGATGCATGCATAAATAACATGTAGACCTCTTTCAGCGAAACAGGATTTGGGCCTTATTCTTCCTGTACATCAATAAAATGGGAATGCTGCAAGCATAAATACATTAAAGATGGTGAGATGCTCACAAATTCTGGTATTTGGGGGAGCCATTAGTGGTTAAGATACCCCAAAACACAGGAAGTCTATTTTTCTTTCTCACCAGAGTTTTGAAATATTTTAACAACTGCTAATATTTTCCCAGACTTCCACCAGATAGAGGATGTAATACTGCAGATCACCTAGCATTTTTTCTTGGTTTAAGTTAAGTTGCCAGCCCCAAATTTCACTCCCATCTTGACTAGGGATGCTCATATTCAGTCCATTCTGACCAAATTGCTGGTCAGTAGCTCAGATCCTAATCCCAGCCTGTCCTAAAATGCCTAGCAATGACGCAGTCTCAGATTTCACATTGACATGCCCTACAGAGCTCCAGAAATTGCTGACTATCTGGTGCAGTGGATAACTACAGCTGAATCACAGAATTTACCCATCATGACTCATAATGTCACCTGCAGACAAGGCTCTTTGAGTAAATGTGGTATCTTTTATTAGACCAACTAAATAGTTGGAAAAATTATTCTTGCAAACTTTTGAGCACAAACACCCTTCTTCAGGCTCAGGGAGAGTGGTGGTGTGCTGTGTGCTCTCCTGGG